AGATTAATCTACGTGACCTGAGAACTAGTTGCTTCTTGAGGGTTGGAGAGATTTCCCTGAGAAATCATCTGGGTGCTTTCCTGGATGGAATGTGGGGGATCTTGGGGGTAGCATTTCTTTGGCAATTTTCTTATTATAATTCTCGCATGATCATTAGTCTGTTTAGATTTTCTATGTCTCCGAGGTTTAGTTTCTACAAATTGTATTTCTTTAGAACAGTCAGTCTCTACTTCATTCATGCTTTTAAATGTATTTGCAGAGAGTTGAGCCAATTATTCCCTTATGACGTATACAATTTCCCCTGTTTCTGCAGTTTCCTTTTTATAATTTCCTATTCTGAGTAGTGATATTTTCTCCCTTGTTTTCTTATTTTTAGTTAAGTAAGCTAGTTATTTATCTTTACCACTTTTCAAGGAACCAGACTTTGTGATTCGTTATATATATTCAGCTTTTTGAAAATTTCATGTCTCATTCATATCTCCCCTTTTACCTTTCAAAGTTCTTTTCTTTTTTTCTATATAACTTGTTCTTTTTAAGAAAAATTCTGTGTGTCAGATGTTTATTTCATTTGCTTTGTTCTTTATTTGACAGCAATACAAATATTTACACTAGGAATTTATTCTGGAATGTATCCCGCAGGCTCTCCCTTTGCTTCTGAAATGTGATTTTTTTCCCCTTTATTTTTAACAATTCTGTAACTTGGATTACTTTTTCTGATCCAAGAGTTTTTAAAGAGAATTAAAAATAAACTTTCCAAGTGGGGAAACTTTTTGAATTCGCATTGTTGCTTTTTCATGATTCCCAGGGAAGAAAAGGAGCTGATTTTGGCAACCATTTGCAACTTGGAAACCCCCTTTCTTATTGCTTTGCTTTCTGGGAGGAGTTGAAGAGCAGAGAAACAGATCAGTCTTAATTTATTATTCATGAACAAAGATAAAACATGGCCAGACAATCCAACAAGAAGGACATTGAGTTTCTTAACAAAATTTTAAAATCCTCATGAACCTCAGAGTAAGCAAAGGACCTCTCCCATTTTAAAATAATGACTTCATGTACTATTTTATGACAGCATTGTGAGTAACCACCGTAAGTAACTTATGCCAGTATATTTCCAGCTTCATCAAAGGCTGTTTCTGGGGGTAGGTGCCAGTTGTCAAAGAAGTGGGGGATCTTGGGGGTAGCATTTCTTTGGCAATTTTCTTATTATAATTCTCGCATGATCATTAGTCTGTTTAGATTTTCTATGTCTCCGAGGTTTAGTTTCTACAAATTGTATTTCTTTAGAACAGTCAGTCTCTACTTCATTCATGCTTTTAAATGTATTTGCAGAGAGTTGAGCCAATTATTCCCTTATGACGTATACAATTTCCCCTGTTTCTGCAGTTTCCTTTTTATAATTTCCTATTCTGAGTAGTGATATTTTCTCCCTTGTTTTCTTATTTTTAGTTAAGTAAGCTAGTTATTTATCTTTACCACTTTTCAAGGAACCAGACTTTGTGATTCGTTATATATATTCAGCTTTTTGAAAATTTCATGTCTCATTCATATCTCCCCTTTTACCTTTCAAAGTTCTTTTCTTTTTTTCTATATAACTTGTTCTTTTTAAGAAAAATTCTGTGTGTCAGATGTTTATTTCATTTGCTTTGTTCTTTATTTGACAGCAATACAAATATTTACACTAGGAATTTATTCTGGAATGTATCCCGCAGGCTCTCCCTTTGCTTCTGAAATGTGATTTTTTTCCCCTTTATTTTTAACAATTCTGTAACTTGGATTACTTTTTCTGATCCAAGAGTTTTTAAAGAGAATTAAAAATAAACTTTCCAAGTGGGGAAACTTTTTGAATTCGCATTGTTGCTTTTTCATGATTCCCAGGGAAGAAAAGGAGCTGATTTTGGCAACCATTTGCAACTTGGAAACCCCCTTTCTTATTGCTTTGCTTTCTGGGAGGAGTTGAAGAGCAGAGAAACAGATCAGTCTTAATTTATTATTCATGAACAAAGATAAAACATGGCCAGACAATCCAACAAGAAGGACATTGAGTTTCTTAACAAAATTTTAAAATCCTCATGAACCTCAGAGTAAGCAAAGGACCTCTCCCATTTTAAAATAATGACTTCATGTACTATTTTATGACAGCATTGTGAGTAACCACCGTAAGTAACTTATGCCAGTATATTTCCAGCTTCATCAAAGGCTGTTTCTGGGGGTAGGTGCCAGTTGTCAAAGAATAACACATATTCAAAGACAAGTGGAAGGTTTAGTGTTCCCCCTACCCCTTTGTTTTTTAATAATAGGAAGCTAGAGACATCAGACCACAACAGAAAAGTCCTGGACTTTGGAGACAAGTGATACTTGAGTTTGAGTCTCTCAAAATGTGTTTCTCTGAGCTTCATTCACCAGTGTAGTCCCCAACCAGCTGCTCAAAGGCCTGGAGGATGCTATTTTTTATCCCCTTCCACCAAATGCCCAGAAAATCCAGAGCACTAATTTTTGATTTCTGGGGTCTCTGGACTTTTTAAGTGTCCTATATTCCCCAAAGTCGGGGTCCCTTCTCATACTGCAGAGGTGATCTGCCTTTCCCTGACAACTTGTCCTTTGCTCAGCTCAAGAGGCTCCCGCAGAGGTTCCTGCCCAGGGTCAGGCTGGGCTCCTGGCTTCCACATTGCAGGACTTGGCTGACCCCTTCACCTCTGGGCTGCAGCCCACCAGCACTCCCAGCCGCATAGGTCCCAGTGCTGCTGTCCTCCAGGTTCTATTAGCTTCTGAGTGCCTACTGTGCTGTGTTCCCAAGATACACCTCCGTGATTTCTAGCTTACCTAACAACTTTTAGCAACTTACCTGTGCCCCAGTTTCTTTACTTGGAAGAAACGTAGAATACTTTCCTCATCAGGTCACTTGGGGATCAGTAAGAAATTTGCCAGACATCTGCTTAGAGCAGAGACTTGATAAATGTCAGTCCTTCCTGCAGGCTGGGGGAGTTGAGATAGCTGTTGCACTTTTCCAAACATTCAGGCAGGAATCAAGGGAGATTCCCGCCGGGTGAAACAAAGGATCCCTACAGATCTAGAGAGGGAGGCATATCTTGTTCCACATAGCCCTGCAAGACACTGGGAATGATGGAAAGGAACAGTTCTATAGATGACACAACACAGGTGGAATTGTTGAGGTAAAATCAGTTCACCAAGTTTGGTTCCCTGTTATGAAACATGGAAACTGGTTCTCTTAAAAAGTATGAGACTTCCCTGGTGGCGCAGTGGATAAGAATCCGACTGCTAACGCAGGGTACATGGGTTCGATCCCTGGTCTGGGAAGATCCCACTTGCTATGCAGCAACAAAGTTGATGCACCACAACTACTGAGCCCAAGCTCTAGAGCTCGAGTGCTGCAACCCCTGTGCCTGTATGCCACAAATACTGAGACCTGCACGCCTAGAGCCCAGGCTCCACAAGAGAAGCCATAGCAATGAGCAGCCCTGCAATAAAGAGTAGCCCCTGCTCACCTCAACTAGATAAAGCCGAGTACAGCAGCAAAGATGCAGCACAGCCAAAAATAAATAAAATTATATGAAGAAAGAAGTTTTTAATGTGTCTAGCTTATCATGACTTTAATCCCACATTTATTCCAGATTTTGACTCAGTTCTTGCTTGCAAGAATTTGTGATTTTACAAAAGTTTTCAGATTTTTCTGGAATCACAAAAGCAGACCACTTCTCTCTATACACACACACACATTTTGCTGCAAAAGGAGTAAAACTGACACGGACATAATCATAAGCCAAATAGAAGTGATTGTGTAGACAACTCATTTCATCAACAAGTATTTACTGAACACTTGCTGTGTTCAGTAACACTTGCAGGCACTGTCCTAATGAAGAAGGAATTCATAGGGCCTGGACTCCATCTCAGGCCTGTTCATGCTGATCATGCTTGGCCACCTCTCCAGTGGACTCTGAACTCTGGGTTTAGTGTCTATGGAAATGACAATAGAAGGGTAAGTCTCCCTCCAGACAGGGGAATCTTGAAGTTCGTATCCAGGTTACTCATAGCCTAAGAGAACACATATACTAATCACCCCTTCCTCCAGACAGGCCATAAATTTTTCTGTACAGTGTAACCTTGGGCTTATTGATTATCGGCTAATTGTTTAACTGAGCACATGGCACATGAGTGATGGGGTTATTGGGATTTTATTTACCCTTCCTTAGTTTATGTAACTCTCAAGGAATTTGGGGTGGTGGGTTCAGACATGTACACATGGGGTATGACAGATTTTCACAAATGCTGGTTGGGGTCCTTGGCTAAGAGGAGACAGTGCCTTGGGCCTGCCGGTGTAATAAGCTGCACTTCACTAACTGCATTGTCCTTCTGAGTGAGTTTGTTTCCCAGAACATGTGGCTACAACACTAAATTCTGGAAATATTACAGGGGATTAGAAAATTCTTCCTCTCAAGAGAGCTGACATCCTAGCATCTACATGTGGAGGCAGACACATGACTTGCTTTCTCAGGCAAGGATCAGCAGGGGGCAGGGTGACAGCTTGGCAGCAAGGTGCTGTCTCCAGTGGAGGTGGGGAGGGTCTGCCTGAGCAGGTGACTCATGAGCAGAGGCCTGAGTTGGGTGAGGCAGGGAGCCCTTCACAACCTAATTTGCACTTTCAGGTAAGAAGAAATATGCTTTTTCCATGGCTTGTTAACTTACTCATGTAATGTGCATTTAACATTTTTGGGGGTGAGTTAATTAATTTGAGTCCTAAAATTCCTACCCTCTTAGCAATTCCCCAAACTTCTGTGTAATATAAACTTTTGGTTTTCCTTGTGCGTGTTCTGCACACTGACTGCTAAATATTAACATATAGATACAAAAGGACCATTTTTAAAGATTAGGCTATTTTTAGGATGGTTTTAAAGATATGAATAATTAGAAAATGATTCTATAATATTAATGGATAGAAACAAGCAAATGAATAAAACACATCCCAGAATAAATGAAAACAAAAATGAATTTTAAAGTTATTTAAAAAGTTATTAAAAAAATCCCTATAACATTTCATAAAAATATACATACATGTTTTTACTTATACATTCTATTTAATACTACTGATTTCAATGCAATTTTAAGTGCATTTTTCTCCTGAAAGTATATACATAGACTTCCAAAAACAAATACCATGCTGAGACACAAAAAGGAAAACAAGTCTTATCATCTCCGAAAGTGGTTAGAAAGGACCCTAGAGTTAACACCTATAGGAAGCAGGGTTATGTTTACTATTAACATGTAGACGCAAAGGTTCACATGTGACAATGCCTTTTTCTTTTTTAAAGAGACTGCAGTTTTCAGACCAAAAGTGACAAGTCCAAACAGGCTCTTTACACTTTTATCTAAACCATGACACTCCATCTGATTTCTATCAAGATGACGCAATTTCTGAAATCATGGATCTGTTCACGGAATATAAGTGGAAGCACTTCTCAGGAAAAGCAGATCCTTCCTGGTTTGTGACCTTGGTTGATCTCATGAAAACTCTCTGGAGTCTGCTGTAGGTCTATAACCAATCAAGGACTCTTTACCACCTTCATCCACAAGCAGGTCCACTAACACATGTGGTTTATCATAACCAAAGGAGGTGGTGGTGTTTCTCAGAGTTATGAAGTCTTGTCCTTCAGTCTTTACTTCAGTTTTATCACTTGGGGGAAATTCTGAGCTGGAGCAGTTGTCCGACACCACCAGGCCACTATCAGAGCCGTTTCTGGAGTGATACGCATTCAGAGTGATGCTGCAGGGCTCAGACTGGCTGCTGGTTGCGTGGATAGAATCCTCGCTCTCTGGGGTCAGAGGACTACATGGGACCAAGTCAGAAATATTTTCCTCAATGGTCACCACTTCCACTTCACTAGAAAGGTCTCCGTGGTCCACTTTTCCGGGATCGTCCTCAGTGTGCACGCTTGAAATGGTCCCTGGGGACAGCTGCTCATTTTCTACGGTAATTGGCTGGTAGGTGATGGGTGATATAACTTTTGAATCAAATTTTGCCTCTGAAGAGGCATTTTTCACCACAGACAGCTAAGGGAAGAGAAATCAGTGATTAAAAATAATAAATTATTAAAGTTAAGTACTTATCCTCAAAAAAAAAAAAAAAGGTCTAAAAGGGGTAGAGGGTAACTAAATGTATCACTCATTGGCATATTTAGGATAACAGTGGAATAGAGTCTGATAATTGCCTTTTCTTTCTTTTTAATGGAAACACCATTAAGATTAAAAACAAGTTTTTAGAAAGTCACTATCTCACCAACATGTTGCTTTCTGTGTGCTACCTTCGACAAGCACGCACATCACATATGTTATAAAAGTCCAATTACTTATTCTATGTAATGTTTTGCCATTTGTCTTTATAGTCTAATTTTCAAAGGGTCAATAATTTTATACTGATGATGAAATCATTTATCTAATACTAAGTGTTAAGGTGTTCAAATTTTTACCATTTACAGAACATGCTGAAGTTAATATTTTTATACATCTTTTTATTTATGAAACTGTCTCTTTAAGGATTAATTTTTTAGTGTGGCATGCTTAGGATGCTGCTACTTTGTACACCCACTGCATATTTATCAACTCCTCAGGGCTAAAATTTCTTTTTTTGCCAGCATACACTACTTTTATTACAAGGGACTAATGGATATTCAGGTTTATTTTTCCTTCTCTAGTAGGTGTAAAATAGCATACTGCAAGCTTCATTTGTGCTTAACCACTAGTAGTTAGTAACTCACATGTGAATTGTCTGCTAACTGTTGACAGTTCTTATCCCCTCTACTTAAAGACAGTGTTTCCATCACAAATTTAAACTTGCCCTTTACACATCACAGGTATGACTCCTGTCATATTTGACTTAATATCATTCTGACACCTTTGAATGTTCTTTTCATCATACTTTTAAATGTTAGGCATTAAAATGTCAACCTTCTAGTTTAGACTCACTGTTGGTCATCTTTCCTTCTACACTTCAATTACCATGAAGCATTTCTGTATTCACAGGTTTTCGAAAGCCACACCTTATTGACAGTGGGCCTTAGCACACACTGTCCCTCGGTACCTGTATGAACTCCTCTCTGCCTCTCAAGACTGCTTAGCTATCACTGCCCCTGGAGAAGCCATGACTAACCCAACCCCGCAAAGATGGACCAAGTCCTCAATGGCATGTACATAAACCTCGATCTTCGAACCTCAGATCGCACTGGACAACCACTGAGTCCTTATCTTTTTCCCACTTGACTTTAAGCTCCTGAACACTTAGGCCTAACTATGCCTCTGTCCCTCACATAAAAAAGCACACACAGCACAGAGAAAAAAAAAAAAAGTGGTTTTGGGTATGTGGGAGATTGAGTGATTTATGATAGGTGAGCAGCTGAGCATTATTCTACTTTAAAAAACCAATTCAAAGAATTATCGAAAAGGTTTAAATTAACATTTTAGGGTCCAGTTCACCCTTGAGCAATACAAGAGTGAGGCGCATTGAGCCTCTCTTGCAGTCAGAAAATCTACATGTGACTTTTGACTCTAAAAACTTAACTACTAAGAGTCTGCTATTGGCCAGAACCTACCAATAACATAAATGGTCGATTAACACATACCCTGTGTATTATATTTACATGCAGTTTATACATTTTTTTCACTTAAGTTTTTCAATACTTCTAGGCAATATGGTGAGTTTTTTTTCAAACTGTCACAAATCTCCAAAAAAATTTCCAATATATTCACTAAAAAAAATTCTGACGTGGCCCTGTGCAGTGCAAATCCATGTTGTTCAAGAGCCAAATATAAATAAATAAAGGAAAAAATAACTAAATATATTACCAAGGATTTGGGTAACTTGGTGCCTTCTGGCTTAATTGGATTCAGCTTCTTAAAGATACAACATGCAACTACCAGAGCAAATATAAGAAAGAGAACTAAAGCAGCAACAATAGGAATCCAAACAGGATCTATGAAAAGAGAAAAAAATCACAAATTAGAATTGCAATCAAACAGTGCTAGATCCATCAAATAGTTAGAGAGTCTCAGTGCTACTCATCAATGGATTTACATATCCGGTAATTAATACGGTCAGAGTTTTAAAGAACACTGACACAGAAGTCAGAAGACATGAGTAAAAAATTAGTTCCTGTCCAAGGTATCAACATGGAATTCTTCCCAGCATTCAGATTCTAAGCTTTCTGCAACTATACTGTCATATAGTGTGGCTAAAATGACTTTTTCATAGCAATTTCCTTACAGCCCCCAATACAGGGTGTTTCTCTCAGTTGAAAAGGCAAAAAGAACAAAAAATATTTAAATATATTTCTTTAGAAATAAACTCTGGCAATGTCTGTAACTCTTAAAACAAACTGAATGTCTTTTAGTCCCACTCTTCTGAATTGTTACATTTTATTATTTAGTTAAAGATTATAAAAACTTAATAAAATACACAGATGTACACAAACACAGACAGATACAGGCAAGCTGTACATGAATAAAGTCCCTTTGAATGTAAACCAGATATAAATAACAATATAAAACAGGGAAGGTTTGTTTCCGAGTACAAACACCTGTAATCACGACTGTATATTTTTCTCTAATGCTGTTTTGTATTTTCACAGCACAATCTTCAATTTTTTTTTCTGGTCCGCTCTTCAAATTAACAGTGCCCTACATGCTGTGGTGGTGTTTGCCATCCTTCACAGCATTTTATTACCTTTAATTTCTATTCCAAAGTTACTTCTTTGAAATAATAACTCTGACAGCAAGATCTTTTTTGACCCATCTCCTAGAGTAATGAAAATAGAAACAAAAATAAACACATGGGACCTAATGAAACTTAAAAGTTTTTGTATGGCAAAGGAAACCATAAACAAGACAGAAAGATAGAAAGGCACAAAGTATTTGCAAAGCAAAGGAAAAAGGATTAATCTCTAAAATATATAAACAGCTCATGGAACTCAAAATCTAAAAAAAAAAACAAAACAGCTCAATCAAAAAATGGGTGGAAGACCTAAACAGACATTTCTCCAAAGACATACAGATGGTCAAGAGCACAAGAAAAGATGCTCAACATCACTAATTATAAGAGAAATGTAAATCAAAACTACAATGAGGTTATCACCTCACACCAATAAGAATGGCCATCACCAAAAATTCTCAAACAATAAATGTTGGGGAGCACGTGGAGAAAAGGGAACCCTCTTGCACTGTTGGTGGGAATGTTAACCGATACAGTTACTGTGGCAAACAGTATGAGGTTCCTTAAAAACAGAACTACCATACAACCCAGCGATTCCACTACTGGGCATATACCCTGAAAGACCATGATTCAAAAGTGAGACGTATGGACAGAGTAACATGGAAACTTACATTGCCGTATGTAAAACAGACAGCCAGTGGGTATTTGCTGCGTGTCTCAGGGAACTCAAACAGGGGCTCCGTATCAACCCAGACGGGTGTGATGGGGAGGGAGACGGGAGGGAGGTTCAAGAGCGATGGGACTTATGTACACCTTGGCTGACTCATGCTGAGGCTGGGCGGAAAACAGCAAAATTCTATAAAGCAATTATCCTTCAATTAAAAAAACAAAACAAATTTAAGAAAAGGACATGTGTGCCCCAGTGTTGACTGCAGCACTATTTACAATAGCCAGGACACAGGAACAATCTCTATGTCCATCAACAGAGGAATGGATAAAGAAGATGTGGTAAGCAGTTACAACGGAATATTACTTGGCCATAAAAAAGGAATGAACGTGGGTAATTTGTAGAGATGTGGAGGGAACTAGAATGTGTCATGTAGAGTGCAGTCAGAACAACAAGGATTGTACATTAACACATATACATGGAATCTAGAAAAATGGTACAGATAGACCTATTTCCACAGTAGGAAGAGAGATGAAGACGTAGAGGACAGACATGCGGACGTGGAGGGGTGCGGGTGGGACAGACTGGGAGGGTCGGACTGGCATACACAGGCTGCCATATGTGAGACAGACAGTCGGTGGGGACCTGCTACGCGGCACACGAAGCTCAGCCTGATGCCCTGTGATGACCTGCCCGGCCGGGACGGGGTGGGTTGGGGGGGATGCTGCACACACGCACGTGGCTGATTCCATGCACTACAGCAGAAGCTAACAGCAGTCATACTCCAACAAGAAACTAAAAAAGAGTGACTCTGCAAGTTACTAAAATAAATGCCTGTGTCACACCCGTTAGAGGACACGAAAACGTTTTTTACAATAGGAAAAGATAAAATGACCACACAAGCAACACAGCGCCCTGCCCAAAAGCACTGGCACGGACAGACAGAGAACGCTGCCTGCGCATGAGCCAAAGAGGCGCCACTGTGCGCCTGGCAGTCCGGCGTGTGACTCAGGAGCTCTCTTTTTTAAAATAAATCTGGGGTATTTGCATTACTTCAAATTTTATGCATTTTCTTGGTCAAAACAGCATAACACAAACGGATATTAAATGCACTGCATCATTTTAAGTTATCTATTTGAAATCCTCACATAATGGCCTAAAAGTTTTCTGTATTCATTTTAAGTGTTTGGTCTGATTCTTCAGGCTAGATTTTCATTCTTTGAAAAGAAATTTGCAACATTTTTTGTACATTTTTAACCTAGGAAATATATTCTAAAAACACTTGAACAACGTAAAATACACACACACACACACACACACACATGCACACCCCCAAAGACAGTCATCAAAGTATGATTTATAAAGACAAACTGACAAGGTAATCAAAAAATTGAGAAACATTAAATATGATCTTTGGGCTTCCCTTAGGCTCAGCTGGTAAAGAAAATGCAGGAGACCTGGGTTCGATACCTGGGTTGGGAAGATCAGAAGGGAAAGGCTACCCACTCCAGTATTCTGGCCTGGAGAATTCCACAGACTGTATAGTCCATGGGTTCGCAAAGAGTTGGACACGACTGAGCGACTTTCACTTCACTTCACTTCAAATATGATCTTCATAATAAAATATTTTAAAGATATTAAAAATACTATTAATAAAGTATGTAAAATAAAATGAAAAAATATTTACAGCATATGCTTAGCATGTGTGCATCTGTTCAGCTGTGTCCAACTCTTTGTGACCCCACGGACTATATATAGTCTGCCAAGCTCCTCTGTCCACGGAGTTTTCCAGGCAAGAATACTGGAGCGGGTTGCCATCTCCTCCTCCAGGGGACCTTCCCGACCCGGGGCCAAACCCATGCCTCCTGTGTCTTCTGTACTAGCGGGCAGACTCTCTACCACAGAGTCACCTGGGAAGACTCATGCACTACGTTATATTTGTCCTGTAGTACGATCATGGCTACAAAGCAAAAGAAAAAATAGGATGGAAAAAAACCCCACCAAACAGTGAGCAACTGAGTATTCATCTGGATGGCAGAACTACAGCTTTTCTTTCCTTCCGGCTTTTTACACTTTAAAAATTTTCTATAATAAACATTTAAATTTTGTAACATCAAAAATAAGCCCGAAGTTTTGTTAAGGTACCTGCCAAATGAGAATGCCTGTTAAAGAAAATAATAATAAAATGAAAACATTTATTTTAAAAATGTGTTATAAAAATGACCCATTATCTATGATTTAAACCAATCTTTATTTTTAGATGTTAATTTCCAGTGCTTGTCCAGTTCACAGGTAACACAATTTTAGTCAGTGCACATTCCTGCTTTTTAGTTTATAAACTTACTGTCCCCAGGAAGAATATTTTAATGGATATATAACATCTTGCTATATTAGAGTAACAAACTGATATATGTCCTTACCCATAATCCTGAAATGCAGAAATTTATGCACACAGCTTTATGTGTTACCTTTTTTCAAGAGGCGCCACTGTGCGCCTGGCAGTCCGGCGTGTGACTCAGGAGCTCTCTTTTTTAAAATAAATCTGGGGTATTTGCATTACTTCAAATTTTATGCATTTTCTTGGTCAAAACAGCATAACACAAACGGATATTAAATGCACTGCATCATTTTAAGTTATCTATTTGAAATCCTCACATAATGGCCTAAAAGTTTTCTGTATTCATTTTAAGTGTTTGGTCTGATTCTTCAGGCTAGATTTTCATTCTTTGAAAAGAAATTTGCAACATTTTTTGTACATTTTTAACCTAGGAAATATATTCTAAAAACACTTGAACAACGTAAAATACACACACACACACACACACACACATGCACACCCCCAAAGACAGTCATCAAAGTATGATTTATAAAGACAAACTGACAAGGTAATCAAAAAATTGAGAAACATTAAATATGATCTTTGGGCTTCCCTTAGGCTCAGCTGGTAAAGAAAATGCAGGAGACCTGGGTTCGATACCTGGGTTGGGAAGATCAGAAGGGAAAGGCTACCCACTCCAGTATTCTGGCCTGGAGAATTCCACAGACTGTATAGTCCATGGGTTCGCAAAGAGTTGGACACGACTGAGCGACTTTCACTTCACTTCACTTCAAATATGATCTTCATAATAAAATATTTTAAAGATATTAAAAATACTATTAATAAAGTATGTAAAATAAAATGAAAAAATATTTACAGCATATGCTTAGCATGTGTGCATCTGTTCAGCTGTGTCCAACTCTTTGTGACCCCACGGACTATATATAGTCTGCCAAGCTCCTCTGTCCACGGAGTTTTCCAGGCAAGAATACTGGAGCGGGTTGCCATCTCCTCCTCCAGGGGACCTTCCCGACCCGGGGCCAAACCCATGCCTCCTGTGTCTTCTGTACTAGCGGGCAGACTCTCTACCACAGAGTCACCTGGGAAGACTCATGCACTACGTTATATTTGTCCTGTAGTACGATCATGGCTACAAAGCAAAAGAAAAAATAGGATGGAAAAAAACCCCACCAAACAGTGAGTAACTGAGTATTCATCTGGATGGCAGAACTACAGCTTTTCTTTCCTTCCGGCTTTTTACACTTTAAAAATTTTCTATAATAAACATTTAAATTTTGTAACATCAAAAATAAGCCCGAAGTTTTGTTAAGGTACCTGCCAAATGAGAATGCCTGTTAAAGAAAATAATAATAAAATGAAAACATTTATTTTAAAAATGTGTTATAAAAATGACCCATTATCTATGATTTAAACCAATCTTTATTTTTAGATGTTAATTTCCAGTGCTTGTCCAGTTCACAGGTAACACAATTTTAGTCAGTGCACATTCCTGCTTTTTAGTTTATAAACTTACTGTCCCCAGGAAGAATATTTTAATGGATATATAACATCTTGCTATATTAGAGTAACAAACTGATATATGTCCTTACCCATAATCCTGAAATGCAGAAATTTATGCACACAGCTTTATGTGTTACCTTTTTTCATTCCTGGGTCAAAGGTCATCACACCGCTTTCTAAATTGGTTGTTCCGTATCTTTTAAGACTGAAAAATGGCCTTATTTTTAATTTTAAACTTCTGAGAAATGGAACTACTAAATATTTTTTGAAAAGAGCAGAGATGTACTGAAATTAAAAATCAACTTTTTTCACACTACCATTTTAGTGATCACTCCTTATACTGGGTTCCCCTGGTGTCAGTGGTAAAGAATGCACCTGCCAAAGCAGGAGATGTGTACTAGGTCCCAGGGTCGGGAATATCCCCTGGAGAATGTCCACTTCAGTGTTCTTGCCTGGGAAATCCCATGGACAGAGGAGCCTGCTGGGCTTCAGTCCACAGGGTCCCAAAGGAGTCAAACTCTACTCAGTGACTAAACCAAAACCCTACATTTAGGAAAAAATGGTAACAACTTACCTTCTGTGTTGCTATCATCAGAAGAGGTAATACAAAGTTCATCAGACTTCTCAGTGGTAACAGCCCATGATTCTGAGACTCCTTCTGCTGAAACACAGTACTGAGAATTCAGCGAGGACACAGGAATGTTTAAGAAGCATTGAGTCTCGTTACAATCCTCTTCCTTCGTGTACATTTTATCTGTGGTCTGGACAGAAAAAGAAAAAAAGAAAATGCATGGCACCTTTTAATTTGGAAAAAAATATCACCATACTTATCCTGGTCGAACATTTGAAGAAAAACATAGACATGATGAGTGCTGACATGTCTGAAAATAGTGTTGATATTCAAACAGTAAGTCAATCTGTTACTTCAACACAGCATGATGCATGATGCCATAAATCTGTTAAAATGTTCTTTAGATAGATTATAAATTTAAAAATTAAAATACAGATTATGAATATAAAAATTCAAATAGCAGGAATGTTCAGTGTTAGCTGTCAAACCAACAAATGCTCACTGGTCCTATTTCTATAGTGCCTGAAACTTAGCTGGTGAGAGAGATGAGCATCTCATAGGAAGAGTAACCCAGGCATCCTGCCAGAGCATCTCTCAGCAGTAATACATGGACAGGACTGAAGCAATCTCTGGGAGCTTATTATTCATTCAACCAGCCACAGTGCGTGGATCACTGTGCTATGGCCTAAGGACACAAAGGTAAGAAGTGGTGCCTGACCTCCAGTAACTTACGATAGAGTGTACAAGAGACACAAGAAAGAAATGCAAGTGAGTGATGAGGACTGTAAGAGAAAGCCCCACTCTATGAAATGAGGAATAACCAGACCACAGAAGGGGAATCAGTCCACGGGGTCAGAAGAGACTTCGAAGCGCAGCTGATTTGCCAGCTGAATACTGAAGAATAAACAGAAATTCTCCAAGGTGGAGAAGGGCGTTCTGCGAGAGAGCAGGGTACCCGCAGGAGACTCAGAACAGAAGCAGGTCCGCAGAGCACACACGAAAACAAAGCTGGAAGGCTACGCAGGACACGCGGTGGAAAGGACGCAAGAGGCCACGTCATGAAGCCAAGGGGCCGTGCCACGGAAGAGAACTTAGACATGATTTTGTACTAATGGGGACTTGTTAAAGGGTTTTAAGCAGTGAAGTAATATGGTCAGATATGCACTTCAGAAAGACAACTCAGCGGGCAACCACAGTGATGTCTCACAACCTAAATCAGATGTCCTCCTAACATCTCTCCACGAGGCACGACAACTCAGTAAGAAGACTCAGATCTCTCCACCACCTCAAGAGAAGCGGCCCCCAGCGAGCCCTCCAATGCCAGCGGCCCCAGCACTCTGCCCAGCCGTGCTGCCCCGTCACGGGCCTGGGCGCCTCTGCCAGGCCCTGCCTGAAACACTCTCCCCACGGACATCCAGGAGCTCACCTCCTCACCTCCCTGAGGCCCAGCTCCAGTAACGCTTCCCAGTGAGGCCCGGCCACCCTGCTGGAAATCACTACTGCCCTGCCCCGCCCGGCCTGCCTCCCTGCCGCTCCGAGGGCCTAAAAGGCAGCAGGCACGTGCTTGACAAACTCCGTTAAGTAAGGACCGGCAGTGCTCTGGAGAGGGGCCGGAACAGGAAAATTCTAGTCAAAGTGGGGTCTGCACGTCAGTGCCGGACTGTTAATCACATCCTACAGGAGTCCTGGAAGCTGCTTCTTTCAAAGACAGGGATTCCAATGAGAGCTTCGTATTACTTCACGTCACTACCAACGAGGAAGGAAGGATTAAAGCTATCCTCACCTTACCAGTGGAGAAATGGAGATACACAGGTTAACAGTCTAGATTAGAACCACACTGTTAAAAGAGGCGAAGAAAAAAACTTAAAATGTATTCACCGGGCCAGTGTTAAAGATTAACTCCAGTACGGATTCCCTTCAACATATATTTATTTTTTTCTTACTAAAACTGATGAGCCATGAGTCGTGACTGAATATCCATAAACATTCTACTTTCATTTTACCACATATAAAACAACTTACGCAAACAACAGGAATATTTCAATGTAGAAAAAGATGCGATAGAAACACATACCTCACTTCCATTGACGCTCACAAACACAGTGTATGTGAATGTGTAACAAGCATTTTCATCATCATACATAGCTTCTGGCTCTTTTCCATTTACGGTAATTAAAGGGTGAAATATATCAACAGTAATTTGGTTTTCTTTCTTTCTGATACCCAGTTTAGGTGGTCCAACTTTCCCTGGGGGGTGGAGAACAAAAAAGAAGTATAATTTGTATCAGACTTTGAACTGTGATCCACAGCATATTACCTAACAGTACCAAACTTAATCCATCAACCTACTCTTTCTGTTGCTATTGTTCGAAAGCAGGACAGAATTTAAATCACTCCACAAACATCTAGAATATATTTTACTGTCCTTAATGAATCTTGGTAAAAAGCCTTGACATCAAAGAAACTCTATGAAGTTATCTTTCCTTTATCTTTGATTCTGTAGATTAAAAATTATTAAACAGAAAACAGAACATGCTTATTAAAACACATTTCAGAAAAGGCATTGTAATTATCTTTGAATCCTCATCATAACTTTTTGTATTTCCAGTGCCTATGGACACTTGGCATGAAGACTCCATAAAAGTTTGCAAAATACATTCAATTTTTACTATGAAAATCAGAACTAGCTATTCACGGATTCCATAATGTTTATTATTATGTCTTTGATGTCTGGAACTCTGTAGGTGAACCATTTATCTATTTTTCACATATTTACTGCATACCTACAGATCTGTTTTTAGGGCCTTGCATACTTTCTGGCACATAGTATGACCTTGATAAATCTGTGTGGGAAAAATCTGACATAACAGATAGTATAATTATCAGGTGACAGAAGCGTGGACTCTGGGGAATGAAACTACTTCAAGGACAGGTAGAGGCAGGGCTTCTAGAAGAGATGAAGCAAGCACAAACCAAAAGGAAGGAGCAGAACTCAGGCAGTGGCTGAAGTCATGAAGCATGGAAGCTGAACAAGGATGAAAGAGAAGCTAGAAGGCGAGGCATCAAAGAGCTACAAGACTGGGAAGGAACAGGCTGACTACCGACTTCTCTTACCCACGGGTGGCGGTATGAGAGCTACAGGGTAGGATGTGAGCCAGAAAAGAAGAATGGGCACTGAAGAGTCTGGAGCTTGAGGTGACATTGAAGATCAGGCAGATCATGGGAATGGGATGTCGGAAGCGTGAAGAACTGAAAAATCACTGTGACTGAAGAGATTACAGAGCTGTAACATTTTTAATGTGTTAAATTAAAAACATTAAATTTAATGTGTTGCATTGCCAGAGGCCTTGAGGGGAAGACTGAGAGCAGTTCTCACAGTCCTCAGCGAACGGAACCTGGGGAGGAAATGACAGAAGACAGAGGGGAAGCGGGTGTGGCGATCAAATGGACAGCACGGATCCATACGTGCGTGGGGTGGGAGTGTAACGGTTGAGAAGGGCAAAGTGACGGGCACCTCTCAGCCCTATACTGTGGGGCTTGGGCGAAGAGAAGACAGGAACTCCCTAAATTCCTCCAAATGTTCCTGAGGGCATTGTGGTAATTTTTAGCAACTGCTTATAAAAGCAAATATATACAGAACACACGAATGAAATTAAAATTCAGACATGTATACATTCTACTCACCTTCTTTGCATAAAATAAATTCTTTGGACTGTACATAGACAGATTCTTCTTGTCCAACCCTGGCCTTAACTCTAGCCCAGAGAGAACTTGATGGATCATTAATTATAGAAAAGATATTACAAGAATGACTGGAAGTATGGCAGGCATCAATCCATTTCCCGTCGCTAAAATAAACAACACAAAGGTAACTTTTACTGTTAACACATAAACCGTCTCTGTCTGTGCCTTGCTGTTCATTCACGGCATGGAGCTGGTAGACAGAGATGAGTAAGGACAGGAGGAAGAAGCGAGATAAAGTGGGAAATATTTACTCTTTGATTAGAAGATCTATAAAATCATTTATAATAAAGAGGCTCAATTCAGAATAAGACCTCTATAAACCACATTCCACATGTAATTAAAAAAAAATCTGTTCTTTCAACAAAAGCAGAGTCCATTTAACAGTCATAACTTATAGAATCCAACATATTATAATAACTCCTGACACTTGTATTTTTCTTTCTACTTCATACATACACTGTAGGAAGTAAGATGACTTGGCTGTTTTTAACACAGAACTGTAAGCTTCATTCGTCATGCCTTAACATGTCAGAAGTTAGTCCTACTACTCTACCTTAAATCTGACAGGAAGAAGTACTAAGAGGCAGGAAATATTCTGAAAAGAACTAATTTGCATCCTTATTACATCTGGAAGTCGTTAAGCAGTTCAGGAAGTTCTGCCACATGGGAAGGAATGATGATGGAAGAATCAGTTATGAGATGTGCAAGGACCTAGGCAAAAACAGGATAAAAAGATAAAAGTGACACTCACCCATAGTTCATCACTTGTACGGTAAACATAGGACTCTGTAGCGTAATAGGGTAGCCCCAAAATATAACAGTGTTCAAGTTGTAGGCTTGTATTGTAACATCGGTTGGTGGTGGCACTACAAGGGATGCAAAAAGAAAGAAAGATTAGTGAGCAACAAACACTGACATTACAAAACCTTAATGTAAGAAGCCAAATATGCACTTGAAGATTTCACCAGGATAGTAAATTTATTTAGATTAAGTATTTCTAAAACTTAATTTTATTAAATAATGTACAGAAGCATTCTAATTCATTTTAAATTACTGAAACAACATCGTGATACAAGGGACACACAAATATAGTATGAACAATGGTGGTTACCAGGGGGTGGAGGGAAGGGGAAATGTGGAACTGGTGTCCAATGGGTATAAATGTAGGCATATGAGATTAGTTAAGTTCTAGATATCTGCTGTATACCCTTGTGCCTATAATTAACAAAGCTGTATTCTTTACTTATAGGAAGACTCGTGAGAGTCCCTTGGACAGCAGGAAGATTAAACCAGTCAAGCCTACAGGAAATCAGTCCTGAATACTCATTGAAAGGACTGATGCTGAAGCTGAAGCTCCAATACGTCAGCCATCTGATGTGAAGAGCTGACTCACTGGAAAAAACTCTGATGCTGGGAAAGACTGAAGGCAGGAGAAGGGAGTGGCAGAGGATGAGATGGTTGGATGGCATTACCAACTCAATGGACATGAGTTTGAGCAAACTCCAGAAGGTAGTGAAGGACAGCTAAGCTTGGCGTGCTGCATGCAGTCCATGGGGTTGAAAAGAGTTGAACATGACTTAGTGACTGAACAACAACAACAACTGCTGTATTTAAAATTTTGTTATGAGTGTAGATCTCATGCTGTGTTTGTACCACAATAAAAAATGTGGCATATACATGTAATGGAATGTTACTCAGCCTTACAAATGGATACGACAATTCTGATACCTGTTCCAACATGGATGATCCTTGAAGACATTATGCTAATCGAAATAAGTCAGATACAAAAGGACAAATACTGTATGATTCCACTAATATGAAGCATACAAAATAATCAAATACATTGAGACAGAGACTAGAATGGTGGTTATCAGGGGTGGGCGGCGGGTGGGGGGGTAAAAGACAATGGGGCGTTAATGTTTAATGGGTACACGGTTTCAATATGGGATCATGAAAAGTTCTAGAGATGGAGTTCTGGCTGTACAACATTGTTAATGTACTTAATGCTACTGGACTGCACGCTTATAAGTAAAATGGCAAATTTTACATTATACATATTTTACCACAGTAAAAATAAAACACAACTGACTTAAAAAAAATAGTAATATAGCACGAGTAACACATTCCTAGAATGTTTTAGGAGTTTTTATCAGTAATTGCACCACAACTATAATTGCACTGCAATACTAATTCTCAATTCGTTTCGTCACTAGAATTTTCTATATCTGGTACCAAAGATCGTATTCAACGTCTAGAGAAGAACTGGCCACAGGTGGGAGGGTCGCTTTCACTCTGAAGTGCTCCCTGGGCTCTCAGCCCTCCACTCCGCACTGGTACACACCTTCACTGCCGTTTCTCCAGCACGGCGATAGACACCGAACGGCTGCCTGACGGGGGTGCGGCATCAAGCGTTCCAGTTTCATCAGCATTTTGCTCTCTGGGGTGTACAGGACTTTTTTCAAAACATACCCTGTATTTCCTCCTGCCTTTGCTCTTTTAAACCATTTTAGAAAATGTCTGTTGGTAAGATGTGCCAAGTGTCACACAAGAAAATAGGCAGAAGTTACTTTAACATCTTATAACCAAACTCTACCACAACCATTATCTAGTCAGTGAAAGCTGCCGTTTTCCCCTGCTGGGTGTAAAGGGCTATTGTCCACCACCCCACAGCAAACTGAGCACACACCTCCCTTCCTCCTTTTCTCTCTCTCTCCCCCTCCTTTCTTGCCCGTCTTTGTGAACAAACATGAAGGTACAGTGTTAGCACTATGACCTGAAATGTAACAGCATTCAATCCTACCTATCTAGAAAACTCCACCAAACATGATGTGCTTGTACAGCTAAAATAAATAAATGAATAGCAATGTGGTCAGGTGCAGTGGCTTCCAAACATAACTTGTCACCCTAAAAACCTCAAAAAGAGCCAAAAGTTTACACTTTTAAAAAATGTATCCCAGATAATAATGATAATCACTTAGATTCATACCAGCTTGTTTATTTGCTAAGCCGTGTCTGACTTTTTGTGACCCCATAGGCCGCAGTCCGCCAGGCGCCTCTGTCCACGGGATTTTCCAGGCAGTACTGGAGTGGGTTGCCAGTGTCTCCTCCAGGGGATCTTCCTGACGCAGGGGTCAAACCCACGTCTCCTGTACTGGCAGGCAGATTCTTTACTGCTCAGCCACCTAGGAAACACTCAAGGACAGTGTGATTATATTGCCATGCCCCCCACCCCCTTTTTCATCACAAGAGGTGATATGTCCCCTAGGGATATATGGCACTGTCTATAGACAGTTCAGTTCTCTTAATGGCATGGTGGTGGGGTTTTACTCGCATCTAAGGGATAAAAGCTGGGGATGCTGCTGATATCCTGTAATACACAAGACAGCCCTCCACATTTTGGCAGTCCAAAATGCCCTCAGTGCTAAACACTGAGAAACCCTGCCTTATCATAATTTTAGGAATCATTTTTATTTAGGAGGAAAATTAATTTAAATAAAGAATGGAATACGAAACCACACCTGTCAGAATGGCTATCATCGAAGTCTATAAATAACAAATGTTGGCAAGCATGTGGGGAAAAGGAAACTCTAGTACACACTGTTGGTGGGAATGTAAATCAGTGCAGCCACTACGGAGAACCGTATGAAGGTTCCTCAAAAACTAAAGATAGAACTACTGTATGGTCCAACAATTGCACTCCTGGGTATATACATATATCTGAAGAAAACAAAAACACTAACTCGAAAAGATACATGTCCTCCAATGTTCACAGCACCATTATTTACAAAAGCCAATATATGGAAGCAACTCAAGTGCCCATCAATGGATGAATGGGTAAAGAAGATATGGTGTTTGTGTATCTATAATATATACACACACACACATGCACATACATAGTGGAATACTACTCAGTCACAAAAAATGAATGAGATTTTGCCATTTGCAGCAACATGTTTGGACCTAAACTGTATTATGGTTAGTGAAAAAAGTCACAGAAAGACAAACACTGTATAGTATCACTTATATGTGCAATCTAAAAACAAATGGATGACTGTATCAAAAAAGAAACAGGGTCACAAATACAGAGAACAAACCAGTGGTTACCAGTGGTGTGGTAGGAGTAATAGAGGAGTAGGGGACCAAGAGGCACAAACGACTATGTCTAAAATAAATAAGCTACAAGAATACACTGTACAGCACAAGGAATATAGTTGATATTAATAACTTTAAATGGAGTATAATTTAAAAATACTGAATCACTGTTATACACTTGAAACTAACACTGAAAATGAACTATACTTCAATAAAAAATAAAAGGCAAACAATTTCTTTTGATAAACTAATATGTTTACACTTCCTGCTCAGCAAATAGCCTTGGTGTCTGTTGAAATCTCTAGCTTCCATGTTATTCACCAAAGTAGTAGAACAATTTGTACCTAAAGGTTGAGATGATGAAGTTGGAAGGATGTCTCATGTTGAAATACTCAATATGCCCTTTGATCTGTAGCCAGTGATCAGACAGCATTTTTCTACTTTTCCTTTCTAGAATAATGTTGATGGCTTTTGGTACCTATCATCGCTGGTTCTCTAAGCAATTTTCTTGCAGGTAGTCAGGAAGCACTGGACTTGCCAGATTTAGCCCTGGTGTTAGTCGAGTTCCCGTGGCCATACACAGCAGGGTGGCCTGAGCCCTCCTTAGCTGGGCTCCTTCTACAGCGTGTTCACACCTCAACTTCATGAAGCAGCCTGTCTCAAAGAGCTGATACTCTATGGTTGAGAAGGAAATTATAGGCATCCCCCTCTAGGGTCAATTCAACATTAATATCAAATATCAATCACACATATAATTTTGCAACTACATAAGAAACCTAACGCTAAGAAAACTCATAATAAATCAGAACATCCCTCACATGCCAATTCTTAATTTTAACATCTTTTGCTGCTCTTGTTCAGTCTCAAAGTTGTGTCCAACTTTTTGTGACTCCATGGACTATAGCACTCCAGGCTCTCCTGTCCTTCACTATCTCCCTGAGTTTGCTCAAACTCAGGTCCATTGTTGGTGATGCCATCCAACCATTTCATCCTGTCACCCCCCTTTCTCCTCCACCTTCAATCTTTCCCACCATCAGGGTCTTTTCCAATGAGTCAGCTCCTTGCATTAGATGGCCAAAGTATTGGAGCTTCAGCATCAGTCCTTCCAATGAAAATTCAGGGTTGATTTCCTTTAGGATTGACTGGTTGGATATCCTTTCAGTCCAAGGGACTTTCAAGAGTCTTCTCCAACATCACACTTCAAAAGCATCAATTCTTTGGTGCTCAGCCTTCTTTATGGTCCAACTCTCGCATCTATACATGACTGCTGGAAAAACCATAGCCTTGACTATACTGACCTTTGTCGGCAAAGTGATGTCTCTGCTTTTTAATACACTGTTTAGGTTTGTCATAGCTTTTCTTCCAAGGAGCAAGTGTTTTTTAATTTCATGACTGCAGTTAGTAGCTGAGAATTTACAAACCATCAGGTACTGGTTTCTTTTAACAGTCCTTCTCTTGACTACTCTCTCTAATCTTGTACTTTACAGTAAGAAATAAAAAGACACGACATGGCACCTTCAATCTGCCTGGAAACTTCCTCTGCTAGGTCACTGGGTTCACAGGCACACTTCCCATTTTCCCTGCTATTAAAGGTGATGGTGGTGGTAAGTTTCCTGCCACTATGTAACAAGGATCCGCTCACAGTTTCCCGTAAAGACAAGTCCTTCACTTCCTTTTAAGTCCCTGTTAAAAAATTATTCCCAGTAGGAATATGTATGTACCCAATCTGAAATTAGTTTCTGCATTTGAGGAAAAGGCATATAGAAATAAACCT